CCCGCAGTATCTGCGGCCAGTCGTCTAGGCGCCAGCGGCCGAGTTGTGTCGCGACTTTCTGCCAGGTGCTGTTTTTCAGCGTGCCACCTATCCAGCGCTGGTCTCCCATAGATCACCGTGATAGGGCTGCCATCGATTGTTACTGAAGCAATTAGGAAAGCTCCCCCCATCTTCAGAAAGCAGAAAGGAACTAGGAACGCAAGGGGAGGGGGGTGTTGTTACGAACTTCGGGTGTGTTCGCTGATGTGCATGCTATTTCGGCAGGCATTAAAGACGGCTGTCATACCCTTCTATCTTGTACTCTCAACACAAACATCCTGTTGGTATCACATTCATTGACAAGAGCTTAAGTGAAACTAACAAATTCTATCTTTTGAACACGATATGACCTAACTCAAAAGAACAGTGACTAAAGCTACAATGATCACCCCAGTTGCCGAGTGGCTTTCGTGCGATGAGTTATCTGAATGTGAGACAGCGGTTAGTAGCACAGAAAGTTTACAAGTATGCCTCATTATGTCCCGATATAGCGTGCACTAGCAACTGTGCCCTTCAAGCGACGTAGCCTCTCCCCGCTCCCCCCCTCAAAAAGATACGAAGCAATAATTGTGATAAGATGACAATTATTTTTTAGCCCTGAGCTACTGACCCTGGAAAGCGGGAGGCGAACACGTGACAAGGTGTAGCCGCTTCACAGTGGGCCTTCTGACACCAGAGCCAACCTCCCTATTGAAAGCTGCGCGTATTAAAACTGAATTGCGGCTGCTCCGTCCAGAAAGCATGTTTTTATTAATGAGATGACATTTTAAAGAAAGCATGTGAAAATTTTGAATGCAGAGCTAGGACGGGTGCCTAGAACATTTTAAGTATATTCTAGGCACTATAGTTTGGGTCTGCGCACTTTTACTGATGGCGTAAGCTGCAGGTGACAGACGTTGCCTGTAGCCTGCAGGTGACAGACGTAGTCAACCATAAACCATAAAATGACATGAATGCATTCATAATAAGATAATTTGCCATTGCAGCTAACTTCCTGTCTCTCTTTAATGCTATTCTGCACCGCGGGCCGCCTGCGGTAGGCCCACGAGGTGGGTGAAGCATTGGCGCCGCCACCTTGGGTGCGCTCTTGTGTTATGTTGTTTGAGTGTTTGGTAATTTTGTGTAATGATGCCTTAGCGTGTTGATAGCGATTGATGTTCATTCAGTATCATCGTTGTAAATTAGTTAAATAAATAAATGTTGTTGGTTTGTACCGACCGCGTCAGCTGTGTCCGTTCACTCTAAGAGCATGGTGAGGCGCTCGCCTCGTCGAGACCCCACACTGGCTGCCCAACATAAGTCTCTTGGAGTATCGGACGACAGTTTTTGCGGTTCGGTACAAGCTTTTGTTAGAGCCGGGGTGAAGTAGGCCTAGGAGGGACTTCTCATTGCTAGCGTTAGCAGTGTGCTTTCTTGAGAAGCGAGGATATTGGTTTTGGGATGTGTTTGAACTTGTTGGCACTCAAGTTTATGTTTTTTTTCTGCTCGCAAGTGTTTTTTTTTTGCTGTTGTTAGTTTTCAAAATGTTGATGAATTAGGACGAGAGCCATGCGGTCCGCATCCTGAAGTGAGCAAGGCCTAGAGCACGTGGTTTGTAGGCCAGGCCCGAAGCGAGTGAGTACGGAAGTCTTGGGGTTGGTTCGATTTTTTGTAAATAGCTTCTTCTATCTCTTTGGGCTTAGGGAGCAGGGCGTCGTTGCTGTCTTGTATTGCGGCTCGACGCCGGGGCGGTGAACACTGATCGCTCGGTAAGCTGCTATGTGCGGCGAGCGATAGGGCCACCTCACAGAGTAGACGTCTCCTCGCGGCTGCCTCTTCTGCGTCTAGGATGGGTGCTGGGTGGATGCCGGTTGTTGTCGAGCGACTTATTAGGCCTAAGGCTCTGCGCAGCCGCCAGTCGCATGTGGCACAACTAAGTGGATTGTGGCGTTGAGGTGTTGCGCTCTGCTTCCCTCACTTTTTTTTATCTTGCGATGAACGAATTAAGGAAAAGTGACCTTTATTTTATTTTTGATGGGCGTCTCGGCTGCCGCCGATGTATTAGCTAAGCCGTACTGACAATCGTACCACGTGGCCGAAAAGCTCGAAGCTCCCTTCTCTGGGTCCTGCTCCATGGTTTCTTTAGAGTTTTTTTTTTTTTGTTGGTGTCTTCAGCGGGAGGGATGTCATCCACGGCCCGCTATCTTCTGCACATCATCAGCGTCGCTGGCCAGAAATGCGGTCGCAAGGTCGGGCGATGGAGATGCCTGGGACCTGCGCAACTGCCTGCAGTCCGGCGCCCCCATGAGTGCTGGTCGCAACTGGAAGACGTGTCAGCGCTAGCGACGGTTCGTCGCGCCACAGCAACGTTGATGTTGCGGGGCTGGTACTAAGGTGAAGTCGAACCGGACAGTGCAGCAGTGTCGACCAGCAGCGGTGTTGTGGTGGAAGGACATTAGGGACATGCGCTGTCATTTTTTTTTTAAAGCTTGTGTAGCTGATCTTTGTTTTTGGGATATGGTTTTAATTAAGGTTGGGGGGATGTGGGAGTGCTGACAGTCCCTGTAAAGTTGTTTGCCCCGCGTGGCGCATTTATCTCGCCCAAAGGCCGCATTTCGGGGTTGACAACCGCCGGACGATAGATGGCGTTGTGTTCGCGTTGAGTACCACTGTTGGTCGAGTGGTAGCGCAGGCGGTGAGCCCTGGCGGAAGGCAGGCCTTGGTGGTGGGCGAGAGTTGAGCGAGTCTCTTCTGCGCGTGGCGGCTGCCGCAAACGGTTGCCTCTTGTTGTGGGTCTCCCGCGGACGGCACCGCGGGCCGCCTGCGGTAGGCCCACGTGGTGAGTGAAGCGTTGGCGACGCCGCCTTGGGTGTGCTCTTGTGTTATGTTGTTTGAGTGTTTGGTAATTTTGTGAAATGATGACTTAGCGTGTTGATAACGATTGATGTATCATTCGATATCGTCGTTGTAAATTAGTTAAATAAATTAATGTTGCTGGTTTGTACAGACCGCGTCTGCTGTGTCCGTTCACTCCAAGAGCATGGCGAGGCACTCGCCTCGTCGAGACCCCACAATAGTACCGACTTGTATTGCCGGATCATCACGGTCATCGATTGTAATAAGAATATACTGAGAATAAGAGTGTGGCATCAAGATCGAACAGCTGACCCACATCGTAGTGAAGCTCGCAGTCATTCTTTCACAGCCAAACCAAAAATATAGCTCCTTGTATATGGGACACCATTGCTGCCAATCAAGAGATCTTTTCCGGGCTCTGGGGCTTGCGATCGGTGGTGTAGCAAAGGCTTACCCCCGAATGCAGAGATGTTACTTAACTCATACTTGACTTGTTCTTGACTCAAGACAGTCTTCCCGGTCACCACAAATCGTTCTCGAACTTGCGGACGACTTGAAGGCGACTTGGCTCGGTCGAAGTCAGGACAAGTTTCAAGTCAGCTGCGGGGCTAGCTTGAAAGCAACTTCATGCGGTATTCCAACATGGCCACTTCTCGAATGGACGTCGCGCGGAGGGTGGCGGCTTTTGAGTTTGCTTGCCTCGCCATAAGCGAAGCATTTTCTGAGGCGCACTGCCTGCCGAAGATTCTTGGAGCCGCTTTACTTGACCGAGGAAATCCGATGGAGTTGTACGACGAGGAACGATTCCACACTTGATACAGATTCACGAAGAACGTCGTGCGGCAGCTGCTGGGTATGTTGCCACTCCGTGAAAGTGGGGACAACCGAGGACAGCCTGTGCCTCCAGTGTTACTGCTACTGATGGCTCTCGGGTTTTACGGCGTTGGCACATTCCAAACAGTCACCGGGAATCTCGTCCGCATTCCGTAGTCGACAGTTTCCCGTCCAGTAGGAAAAGTTGAGCTATTCATCGCAAAGCACCTGTGCGCAATGCTGGTGCGCTTTCCGCAGCCGGCAGCACTTTCTATAGTTATGCGGGACTTTTATGAAGTGGCTGAGTTTCCTGGTGTTACAGGCTGTGTCGACTATACACATGTGCGTATTAATAGCTTCGGTGGGGACGACGCCGAAGTGTTCCACAACGCAAAGGCCATTTCTGTTTTTTTCGTAAACACGCCGACAATTTCCGCCTGTTTCGGTACAAAATTGACTGAGCGCTGTGTCTGTGTGCCTCGTTTATCTTCTCGTTCCGTCTAGGGCACTGTTTCTCGCTCAAAAAGGCACCGCTTGTAGCACAACGCTACGTAAAATTCCGCACATATAAAAAAGAGGTGACCTTCTTACAGTTTTTTTATCCGCTTCATCATCATGCAGCGAGACACTGCTGCTCCTCGCGAGACAGGATTCTGCTGAGGGCAATATGCTGACACCCGCTTTTTCTCTTGTTTACCAAGCTCAACAAAAGGATACGAATTATACGAATTACATTTGTTCCCGGAACTTGTTTTTTTTTTCATATATAACTGCGACCTAGCCCACTACAGGCATGCACACAGGCGAACAGAAAAGCAAATACCGTGAAAATCGCGTCACCTCGTGAGGCAGGTCAGCACAAATACAAGCCATGGCGTTCGATTGAAAAAAAAAAAAAAAAAAAACGGAAGAATCCAACGCGATGCTTGTTTCGCCTCCAAACAAGCAACCGTGGAGACACACCCCGCATTTGGGTGGCCACTAAAACCAGCGGGCAACGAACGCTTTACAGAAGCAACACTGCGCATAGCTTTGGCGGCAGGCACCACGTGCCGCTCCTTAGCCGTAAAATGGCAAGAATATGCTGGTGGCCCTTCGTTTTTATAGTTATATTAAAACGTATGGGCTTTTTTTAATGTTATGCATGCCTTACGCGAACAACTTCATTATTACCCTTGTTAGCAGGCGAGTTAGCACGCTGACTAGCTCAAGTTAAGCTGAAGTCGCGAGCCAAGTAACATCTCTGCATTCGTGGGTTAGAGTATTTACCATTCAAAGCAATGCCAACTCTTCCCCACGGAAGCGTGTCTCACCTGACTATAGCCACGGCATAGAGGCAGCTGAGCTCCTCGGCATTGAGACTGTCATTGTGCAGGCGTGACCGGCTCTCACTCAGCTGGGCTTGCACCAGAGCAGCAGTGGACTCGATGGCTCGAGGAAGGTGGCCGTAGAGCCTGGGCAAAGTCCACAGTGCTCCATTAGTCTGCGCATACCCCACATTGTTTTGATGCCGTGCCATGGACTTGATTCCGCTACTACAGATGTCTGTTAAACATTTGGATCAGCTCATAACAGAACATCACAATTACTAACGGGGCCCTTTTCACTTTCAGCGCATGTTTATTGAGGCCAATACACGCATATGTTTTAGAGCATGCATGTGCCCTGGACGTTCTGGCTCCTGACATTTTGTGCAGCGTATTGCAACCATTCGTCAGGAGGATTTGTGCGATATTGACCGCGGAATCTTGGCGTCAAGTCAGATTTCACCAAGAATGCGATATGCAGCAGTAAGTCAAGGCAGCGCGATGCAGAGGTAACACAGTCCAATATTTTTTTAAGGTTTTGGCGATGTTCCAAACGGAACAAGTAACTGCACTCTTTTGAGTTGTTCTGACATCTGGCGGCAATTATTCACGCTCGGGTAAATGCATGTTCACAGTGCTACCACCTCATGCGGGGGCCTTTGAGTGAACCATACAGATTCTCTCAGACAGCGTGACTAAACTGCCTTCCTGTCAAACGGTCACGTCTTTCATCTTTACTAGTACACAAACACTCGCCGGGTCAACGAATGACGCGTTATAGCTTGCAGCTACAGACAACGAACGCGTCCACATTTACGCACTCTCGACAAGTGTGATGAAGTGTTAAACGGGACGAATACCTGCTACGCCAAGCAGCGACCACTCCCAGCCCAGCAGCCTGATCCTTGAGCGAATCGCTGAAGAGGTTCCGGTACGTCTTTTCCCATTCGTGCCTTCAATAGCGGAAAAGAGAGCTCTCAGTACCGAACGCTAAACCATTGGCGTTGGATCCGCAAGAATGCCTGGAGGTACTTGCGACTTACCTGTTATACCACGGAACAACCACGAAGTTTCTCTTTTTATTTCTAGGTACGTACATTCTGACTGCAGAAGCCAAATACGCGTGTAGAATTCGGCCCAATTAACACAAAGAAATGCCGCGCTGGTAGAGAACATCAAAAACTACGCACCGCGGCGTGTTCAGTGCCGCGGCCGTTCACAGAACCCACAGAATACCTACCAGTTGGGCCGTCACGATGGCACAGTGCTGCCAACCTGTGGAACCCCTTTTTCCTTCTCTGTAGTGAAAAAATTCACTAGATTTCTGTAGATGTTTATAAAGAGCGTTTTTTTTTACACTAATGTGTTTGTGCTGTGAAAACCAACTTCAAAGTTTATTTTTATGATATAATGAAGTATTTGTTTTAAAATATTTATTATAATCACCGTGCTGAAGCATAAAGCTCTATATGCTGAAAGTGAAAAAAAAAGCAGCGTCTCCTGCGCCGCCCGGCGGCGAGTTTACAAAGGCGAGCGGATAGACCCCCCACAATGCACTGCGCCAGGCGCTCTTACGAGGCTCTCAGAAGCTGCGCGCTCATTGGTTTGTGCGTGATGTCGTCAACAAACAAGGCTGCGCCCGTGCACCGCCTCCTCTAGAAAGATGCCTGAACCTTGCCTGAGCCTGAGGAATGGCTCGCGCTCCCAGCGGAGTTGGCCTGCCTTCAGTTTTAAACAAGCTCCGCGCGGTGGTTCTCGCGCCTGACACTATCATCACGGCGACGGGCGGTTTACCAGCCATAGAGTTTCCCACAATACTAACTAGAGGGAACTCTGGCGCTAGTGTCTATGGGAGCTGCAACGCACGGCATTTCAACGAGCATGGGAATGATGGGTAGTCACGTGATGGTTAGTACACACATTTGTCTAATTTTTGTACTTCTGGTCTGCTTCTGGCTCCGTGTGTGTTCGTCTGGCTTGAAGCTGTTTTTTCACGAAAACATAAATTAGCAAATTTTCACCGTTTGTGCTTCACAACCTTATTTTTTTAAGCTTACTATTTTAAATCAAGTCCCTAAGTTGAAAAGGGTTTGTTCTTTTTTCAAAACAAAACCGAAACGCAGCAATAAACAAAGCCGCAAGTATGAAGACTAGGCAAATGTGTGTACTACCCATCATTCCCATCACGAAGGAAGAAAAAAAGTTCCTTCCTCTGTGATTCCCATGGTCACTGAACGATCGCAGCGCCAGAGTGCCCTCTAGTTAACTGCGTTTTTCATCTGCGGCCCATAGGGACGCGTCAGTCGAGAGTTGTTCGAGACCTGCAACTGTACATCACTGTTTCGGAGGCTATACACAGTGTTGCGTTGCTGCACCGTCCGCCACAAGTGACGCGAGCGACCGAGAACATTTTCAAATTGAAAGAGGGAAAGGAAATGGCAGCTGTTTTTTTTTCATGCGGCATGCATTTTCCTAGAGGAGGCGTTGGCCCATGCATAGTCTCTTATATAACTTTTGTGCCCGCGCATTGGCGCTAAATACATACGCACCATCCGTCCCTCATAGTTCCGGCGCTTGCCGCCAGAAACCGCACCAACCCCATAATAACAGCAGACGACGCGGCCTATGCACGCTTGCGTTTATGACGGTCTAGAAACCGTCTACATTGCATTCGATTATGCGTATACGTTAAGAAGTGTGGACACATAAAATTTTTAACACAAAAATTGTATCTAGAATGCAATGCGAGCTTTTTTATTTGATTTCGCGCTCAAAGCTTGAGCACTTTTCGAGACAACGGTTTGACATGAAAATCTTTCGCCAAGTTGTGTTTGTCAGTCACACTCGTCGTGAAGTTCCCAAAAAGTGGGCGGAGAAACTTCACGAGCACAACCTCCAAAAGTTTTTCATGGTGTCCCGGGGTCGCGCACTTGAGTTTGTCATAGTTCTGTAGTATTTCCGTGGCGTCGTCAACGGCAGCCTTCACCTTCTGAAATTTTTTGACCTGCTCCAGCAGTATTGAGGCAGCCAACTCATTTTCACTTGCCTGCTCGACAACCTGCAAAAACGCTGGGACATAGCAGTCTTCTTTAAGTTTCTGAAGCTCCCTTTTATATTTTTCAACAGTTCCTTTGAACCTTTCAACCTGCGCCCTCAGTTCGCGTTCCTTACGCTTCCGTCTTTCGATGGTTGGTAACGAAATGCGTGAGGCTACTTGCACTGCTCTATCCACCTGCACCGTTCTCGGGACGAAGCCTTGGTCAGTCCTGCTGCTGGAGTTGGGCACTTCTTCAAGTAGGGCGTCGGATGTGTACGACTGGTCATCTCATAAGTCTGTAAACAGATGTGGTGTGCCACCACCGACTGCTCTTTTTTTTTCTTGCTGGCTCACGCCAGTTAATACAGCCGCAGCACGCTTCCTGAGGGCCGCATCGCTTCTTTCGGTTTGTTTGCAAGGTTGCAAATACGACGGGTACTCGTGGAAGACGCTGGGCACAGAGCCTTTCTTCAGTCTTCGCATCGTGCACCCTTCTTTAAAGTCGGACGGGACGAAGTGTCGGCTGCAAACGGTAGAATAGCAAGATGCGCTGTTCATAGCAAGGTGTGAATAGCAAGATGTGTTGTCTCTCGAGATTACCTTAAGCCACTTTTCGCGAAGTCCTTGGTCGCTCGGAATTTCGTGAAGAAATACTCCAGTTTCTTTCCGGCCGCTCCATGATTTGCAGCATGGTACGCAGCAGTACGGTATTGTGGAGCGTTCGGGGCGCAGCCAAACCACAGAACACCTACCTGGCCAAACTTCTGACCATGCATAGACAACCGCATTTTTTTTACGATAGTGCTGCAGGTAACAAAAATACAGCGTTTAGGCACGATCCCTTGCAGCAACCGTATTTCTTAATGATGTAACATTTTGAACAAAGAACTTACCCGAATCGGCCAAAATTTGGGAGAAAGCGCACTTGATACAGTGACGGCTGTCTCAACGAGCGCTGCAGTTAACGAAGCTCTTGGGGGACATAGAGTTTCCCACAATAATTACTACAGGGAACTCTGGCGCTAGTGTCTACGGGAGTTGCAACACACGGCGCTTCAAAGAGCATGGGAATGATGGGTAGTACACACATTTGTCTAATTTTCGTACTTCTGGCCTGCTTCTGGCTCCGTGTGTGTTCATGTGGCTTGAAGCTGTTTTTACACAAAAACATAAATTAGCAAATGTTCACCATTTGCGCTTCACAGCCCTATTCTTTTAAACTTACTGTTTTGAATCAAGTCCTTAAGTTCAAAAGGGTGTGTTCTTTCTTTCAAAACAAAACCGTAACCAGTAATAAATGAAGCCGCAAGTAAGATTCGCCGCCCGCAAGTAGAGGTGTGCGCCGACTGGTCGGCGCGCCGCCGCCGAGAGTTTTCACCGCGTCGCAGACACGAACTGATCGGCGCGCCGGCGCCGCCGATGATTTTCATCGGCGCGTCATTTATGCGCTATCACTGACTTTTCACAGATTTCTCTTTTTCTTTTTCATCTTGATTTATAGCTTCGTTTCACATTTTATGTAGCCAGTAAAAACCAGGCTCCTTAGTTATCTTCATGCAGCTTCAGAGACCGAGAGTACCACTATGAACAGCGGCACAAGTTCTGCGGCTACTGCATGTAATGATATTGTCACGTGCGTCCCGCGAAAAAGACGAAGGCGACAGCGCATATGCGCATCTGCACGCTTTTGTGCAGAACGCAACAACGAAAAAGATGAGGAACTCTCTCTCACGCGGTTAACAAAAAGACCGAAATTTCGTTGCCGCGTTACCTCCCTCAACTTTTACTTGCATAGATCAGGCATATTGAATTCCCCTATGTGCATTTACTGTAATCAAGAGGAAACGATCAGTCATTTTTTATTACATTGTCGCCGTTTCGATTTATTCAGGCAAAGCATACTAGCACCACCTCTTCAAAGACTGGGCTTGCAACTATCACAACCTGATCTTCTTTCAGTTGGAGCCTCTACACTGGGCTTCAGCCACAGGGATGCTTTATTCGCCGTTCAAGAAAACATCACTGCGACTAAACAATTTCCTTGCTAAATTGCTGTCTCACTATTTTTCTTCTTTCTTTTTCTGCAAACTTGATATCGGTATTTCAAATCAAAATTAAGTTACAAAAAACAAAAAAAATGTAGGAATGACGCAATGCTGAAAGTTTAGGGCAATTTCACCTTATAATCGGCCAATCCCCTTCTTTGGGTACGAGCCATTTGCACAGGAAAACAACAACAACGACCGACCCGCTGCTGTTTTCTCAGTGTCTTCGAGTACGACCTCTCTCTTGACGTCGCGACACTGGTGGAGGTGCTGGGGCCTGCAACCTGATGCAAGAAAGCGTTGTTCGGGACCGTACACCCAGTCCGGAGCCTCAACGTCTTGTTGCGACTCCAGTACACCGATTCAGCCGGCGCCTATTAGGCCTAAGCCCAGAACTCTTCACGGCATCTCCTGTTACCAACATGGCGGCCCCTTCAGCGTCTGCGAATCTTCCCCCGGCCTCGGCCAAGACGACTCACCCTTACCAGGTAACTCTTGAGACTCCTCGTGTTCCCGAAGTCTTCCGTGGAGAACCGTATGAAGATGTCGAGGAGTGGCTCGACCAGTTCGAGCGGACCGCTGTGGTGAATCGTTGGAGCGTGCAAGAAAAACTTGGCCGTGCCTACTTCGCAATGGAAAATAGCGCTCGCACATGGTACGAGAACAGGGAGCCTACTTTCCAAACCTGGGACAATTTCCGCCAAAAGCTTCTCGAGACGTTCCTGAGTGCGGACCGACGGGATCTCGCACAACAGATGATCGAAGCCCGCATGCAAAAGCCGAACGAAAGCGTGGCCATGTTCGCTGAGGATATGGCCCGCCTATTTCGCCGCGCTGACCCTGACATGCCCGAGGCAAGGAAAGTTCGTCATCTGATGCGGGGAGTTAAGGAACCGCTTTTCGCCGGCCTTGTACAAAATCCGCCAACAACAGTGGATGAATTCATAAAGAGGCGACTGTCATTGTGCGGGCGCTCCGGCAACGATGCCGCCACTTTGACCGCCTGCCCGACCAAACGCCTGTTGGTGCCGCCGCTCAAAACGCTGCCGTTTCCGAAAACTCTTTACGGCAAATGACTCGACAAATCCTGCGGGAAGAGCTGCGGGCCCTCGGCCTTCCGTCTACCGATCCCCCAGTTGCTTCTGTTGCAGAAATCGTGCGCCAGGAACTACGGC